CGGTGCTCTCCCGATCCCTGCGAGACGCGACTTCACACAGCGCGGCCGTTGCATAACCGGCCCTGGGAGCATGTGCGCGACTCCCAGTGGTTTCCATGGTGATATAAATATTACTCTTTAATAGCATAACGAGGTAAATTAAATCCAGTTTAATTTCATATAAATGAATTTCCTGGGGCAGCAGACTTTGGCAATTCTGGGGGGTTTTTTGATGTTGTTTTCATTCTTCTTTCTCTGGAGGCACGGAGCAGCCGGTGCCCCCAGCCCCGGGGCCAGGCCTCGTGCTCCGGTGTCTCAAGGCCTGCCATCAAAGAAAGAGTTTCTGTAACGTACAAGAGCCACTTGCTTTTCAAAGCAATGCAGGATGTGTCTGGTAAGGTTAAAAAAAAAACAAAAGAAAAGAAAGAAAAAAAAAAAGGCATATTTAAATACCGAAGGCTGGATGCAAAGATGCCTTGGCACAGGCTCAGCAAACCCATTTAGGCCACTATTATCTCTTTAGGCGTCTGCTTTCCCGCTGGAGTCACGGGGAAGTCAGGAGCCCGAGTCCTTTGGTGAACCTGAGACTTGCTGTTGATTCCTGCCCTCTTAGCAAATTCTGCTGGAGGGAAGGAGGCCGCTGACTTCAGTGGGTTGGTGTTTCTAAAACATAATCCTGCGCTGCTTTAACTCATTGCAGTCTTTTTTTTTTTTTTTTAACCCAGAAGTTCTCAAGTAGCTGCTGTGTACTCCTCGAGTGACTAGAATAGCTTACAGCCACGGGGGACGAGCTACACGCAACCGTGCTGCTCAGAGGAGGGGGGTGATGGTCGTGCCCCCTTGCCCCCCACGCGCCGCCATGGTGGTGGGTCAGCCTGCCCGCGGGTTACTGGGAGGAGCTGGCTGCAGGGTCAGGCCAGCACTTCCAGGCATTTACCTGCCAGTGCTGGGGGTTAAGGGAGAGAAAAGGAAACAGCAAACCAGAGCCCTCCCTTTGCTCTTCTCATCTCACCCTGGGAAAATCCAAGCTGCCTTCTCCAAAAGCCTTGGGCTGCTTCTGCAAGTTGATGCTGCTGATAAATTTGCTGTCAGTTTGGTGCCCAGCTCCAGGCCTACCCTCGCATCGTTCCTCGCTTTCACGGCAGTTTTTAATTTTCTAAAGCAGTGATGGGTTTACCTATTAACGCTTGACTTAGAGGCTTTTCATCTCACCCTGGGAAAATCCAAGCTGCCTTCTCCAAAAGCCTTGGGCTGCTTCTGCAAGTTGATGCTGCTGATAAATTTGCTGTCAGTTTGGTGCCCAGCTCCAGGCCTACCCTCGCATCGTTCCTCGCTTTCACGGCAGTTTTTAATTTTCTAAAGCAGTGATGGGTTTACCTATTAACGCTTGACTTAGAGGCTTTTAACTCTCTTTGGTTGTCAGCTGCGCAGACACATGACTTGCGAAATAAGCTACTGTACTTGCATAAACATTTCGACTCCCCCGGTCCCTGAGGCCAACGCAGCACATTGATAATACAGATTATGCGCCTGACTAATACCTGGGTGGCAAATGCGCAGACTGGCAAGGAAACGCTGACCGCCAGGCCTAGGGAAACACCTCTCGCTGCTTTCTGGCAGCCAGATTTGATCCTATTTTATGCCGGTAATTTTTAAGCGGCTTACGCCGCTGTGAACCGAGGGGTGTGTTCTGCTCAGCCGGCCCACAGCCGGCCCCTGTGCCAGCGGGGGCTCCCGCGATGGCTGCTTTTCGTTGTGAGGAAAAAATCATCTCTGGGAGGAAGGAATGAGGACGTGGAGAGTTCTGGGATTTTTCTTTTCTGAAACAGTCCCTAAATTGACGCTGAGCTTGGCCACCTTTGCCAGGGTGACGCAGGGAGCGGCGTGACCGGTGCAGAGGCGAGCGCCCTGGGCTCTGCGAGCAGCAGAACCCGCTCACCTCGGTGCCATCTGTGCCCGCACAGGGTTTGCACGAGGGTTTTTGCTCGTGTCTTTCGTTTCCGTCTGGGCTTTGTTTGGTTTCGAGCCGCTGTTGGATGCG